GCCGGTTCGGCGTCCGCGGGGCCCGGGCGCGGCTTCTCGGGGGCGGCCGGCTGGAGCCGGGCCGCGGGGAGCGGAGCGGCGGGAACGGCCCAGCGCGGGCTGAAGCCGCGGGGGGCTCCGGCGGCGGCGGCCCGGCCCCGGGGAGAGCCTCCTTCCGGCGGCCCGCACCGCGGCCGGGCCCCGACCGCTCGCTGCCCGGAGCGGCCGTCCCGTTGCCGGGCTGCGCCCCTCGGGCATCTCGGCCGTCCCTCATCGGGAGAGCCCTGCGAGGAGCGGCACGGCGGGCCCTGCCCGGAGCGGCCGGGCGGCCTGCGGTGCTGCCCCGGCGTGGGGTGCCTGCCCTGGGGCCGCGCCGCGGTGCTTTCCCGCGGGCTCTGGCGGCCCCGTGCGCGGACGCCGTCCCGTGCCCCTGCTCCCCGTTAACAGAGCGATGCGCTTCAACCCCGGACGTCGCTGTTGGGGATGGATCGAAGAGCTTAACGCGGGAGGTGTGTCAGGCCCTGCGAGCACCGATGTGCCGGTGGTCTTGGAGCTGTTTGTGGCCCTCGGGCTGAGTCCTGAGCTGCCCCTCCGGGCGGGGATGGAGGTTTCCGGGGCTCCCCGTGAAGTTACCATGTGTGCGAACAGCAATAGAAAAGAGCCAGAGCTGCCTCGCCCCTGGAAATCACCACTTCAAAGCAGCACTGGAGAGTTGTCAGCCTCCTCAGGCAGTTTGGAAGATTCCTTTTTATTATTTTTAAAAAAGCAGCAGTCGCACCTCCTCCTCACACCTCCTCCCGCTGCTGCCACTGAAAATAAATGTGGGGGTGACAATGTCTGTGAGGAAACCCAGCTGTCCTGGACTGACCCCCAGTTTGGGGATGCCTGGCGGGGGTACCCAGGGGCACATGGCACCCAGAGAAGCCTTCTGCTCCTTGCCTCCTCCGTCACACTCATCTTGAACAGCCCCTCACCCAGACACCAGCACCCAGCTGGATCTGTGCTGTCACGGTGTGGGGTTTTCCTTTGCAGGGCTCCAGGCCGTGTGCGTGGGCACCGTGGGGCTGGTGGGGGTGTGCAGTGATGTGTGGTGTCCCCCAATGATAGCGAGCTCTTATCAGCCTGCACCAAAGCATGTTGTGCAAGTAAAGATAACAGGGATGCTGTGTGTGGCAGACAGCCCTGTTTGGACAGGAAAGGCTGGAAGGTGGCTTGTACTCAGTTTGTTGCCATGAGGACGAAGTCTCAGGGTAGGAGCTGTGTGCTGCTGTCTTCCGCTTTGGGTTGTGTGCGCTATTGATATCAATGGGTGCTTGTGGGCAAGAGCAGCAATGCTGCGACTCAGGTGGCTTTTGGTGGCTGTTTGTCCTGGTTTGCCTGTTACTTGGAGCTCAGAGCCTTCCTATTCCATCATCTCAGGTATCTGCAAGTTAGGATTAAGTCAGATTTTGGTGCATGTGATCTGGCTGTGACAGGGATGTGGCAGCTTTTGTTGGTGCCCATGGCACAAGGGGTAAAAGCTTGTGAGAACAGAGTGATCAAATGGCAGTGGTCATGGGGAACTTAAAAAAGGCATTACCAAACTGCTCCAAACGATTCCTTGCCCCTGGATTTCCTGCTGAAGGACTGTCAAGCACAGCACGCCGTGAGGCTGCTCCTGCCCTTTCCCTCTGGCTGCTCCTTGGGAGCAGGAGTGGGGCTGCTGTGCTGTGCTGTGCTGTGCTGTGCTGTGCTGTGCTGTGCTGAGCTGTGCTGAGCTGTGCCTTGTTCAGCCCTGTGGATCTGCGACACTGCAACTCTCAAGTACTACAGAGCAAATCCCCCTTGCCACTCCCTCACCTGCTGTGGGTGCTTTGCTGGTGTGGACCCTGAGTGGCTGCTGGTGTGAAGACGGCTGCTGCTGGGCTGAGTTCCACATACAGTCAGGACAGAAGGTCAACCGACAATTTATTTATTCAGCCATTCATTTGGTGTGGTGTAACTTGAGAAACTTGGGATCTGGTCAGTTGAGACACTTTGTTTAAATTTCAAACTGCTTTTTTTTTTTTTAAAGCTTCTTTTGAACATCCGTGCTGTTAGCTGTTCCTGACGCACGTATTAACCACCAAAATGCACTGACTTTTCAACTGGAAAATGTTAAAACAAGGCTTTTGATTAACTTCTCATTTTGGGAATGGACTAAGAGGTGCCAGGAGGCCCTGCAGAGCCTTTCCTTGAAACCATCAACCTTTAAAAAAACCCAGAAACTAACGACCCAAGCAGCTGTGGTCGGTGCCAAAGCCATTGCTGTCCTCCAAGCACTGCCCACTCCAGGGCTCTGTGGTCTGGCTCTGGCAGTGCCGGGGGAGAATATGTGGTGCCCCCTCCCCGGTGCCTTTGATGCTGGTGAGTGGCAGGTCCATTGTGGCCCCTTTGTGCCCTCCTCAGTTCTCCTAGCCTGCACAAAACCTGCCATGGAAACCAAACCCGGCCGCTGTCCCAGGAAACCCGGAGGTGCAATTAGGAAATGCAAATATGAATGCAAATTCCTTCCCTGCCTTCGCCCCGGGGCCACCAGCCAGTGTCCCTGCCTGTGGGCACCAGGAGGAGGATGGGGCACAGGTCTGGGGGTAGTGCTGGTGGCCGTGGGGCACCTCGGGCTTTTCTCCCCTTTCCTCAAGGCTTCCCCAGCATCTTGGGGGAAGAATGGGGGCATTTCAGCAGCTGGGAGCAGTGACTCATAGGTGACAATGTGATATTGATTTTTTTTTTCCATCCTCTCTTGGTTGCCCAGCGACAAACAAACAAACAAGTGTCTTAAAATCCAAGCCAGCAGGAAGGGTGAAGCCCTGGTGGCTTCCCAGTGCCATGCTGCCATGTCCGTGCTGCAGGCAGGATGCATGGGCAGGGTGCTGTGCGGAGCTGCTGCTCCCACCTAGGCTGCTCCATAGCCTGTCATGCTTCTGGGCTGGGAGCTGCTGGGGCACCGTGGAGGTTTTGGCATCTGTAGGACTGACCCTGGGAGCTGCCCTCCTTGGCATTGGTGACAGTCCCACAGTGTGTTCGGCTGTGAATGGCACTGCTCTCCTGTCTGGCTCCAGACAGGGTGGATTTTGTCGACATCTGGAGGTATTTTACACAAATGGAGCTGCTTCCTTTGCCCTGAAGGTGTTCACCCAGCACTTTGCCCCATGGGTGCCTGACTGTACTCCCATGTCTCTCTGACACCCCATGCTTCCTCCCAGCCCTGTTCCATTGAATTGCTGGAAAATGAGCTCCAGATCCTGGAGGTGGCATTTCTTCCTTCTCCTGACATCTCGACCGTCCCTCCCCTCGCCTACATTCTTGGGGCAGTAGTAGGGTAGTGAGGGAAAAAGAGTGGATTGTCTACAGAAAATGGAGCAGGGCACACCTGGGGCTCACTTTCTGTGATGTTCCAACCCTGACCTGATCTTAGTGTTTGACTCAGCTACAGAGCCCATTCTAACAGTGTTTTTTCTCTCCCTCTCTGTTTCCAGGCGGCAGTGGAGCTCTGGCACGAGGACAGCGTGTGCAGGAGGTCCGGAGCTCAGCGGGAGTGCTGCAAGGTACCGGAGTGGAGGGGGTCTTGCTGGAGGGGCTGGGACATGGGGACAAGTCCAGGCTCCCTGTGCTTGGGAAGGAATGAGAATGGTGTTGGAGAGGGGATGTGGAGCTCTGGGGTGCTGTGAGGGCTTACGGCTCTGCTGGGGGCAGACAGACGGACGGCACAGCTGCAGCGCCACGCTAATCCTCTTGTGCTGATGGAGTGTTCTAGCTTGTCCTAAACCACTGCTTATAAAATCCTCGCTACTTTTAGCTTCGCTGGCTGATAACTGCAGCTGTCAGATGAGCCCAAAGCAACTGGGACAGCGCAGTGACGGAGCTATGCGTGAATTAATTATGCAAACTTAAAAATAACAAAGTAGAAGTGAGACTGGGCTTGGAAGAGGAGCGCGCCCTAGTTTGGTGGCTTGGCAGAGTGTGCTGCTGGAGCACATGGCCCGTGTGCCACTGGCAGCTGGATCTGAGCAACCCTGAGGGCGCTGTCCTGGCTTCTGGATCCGTGTCATTCCTGTGTCAAATCCGATGTACTGCAGTGGGGCAGAAGTAGTGCAGCGAACATGATCTTGTGGCTTTCAAGGGCTTTTATCTCCCCCTCCTGCAGACACAGTGTGCTGGAGGGTCCTTGGGAAACCTTCCTGGTGTTCTTGCAGGGGAGGGCAGCCATGTCAGTAATTTGCCGTCGGTCCCAGGCGAGGTGTAGCATTCCAGGCAGGTTCTCCTCTGTTGAGCAGTGTCACCCGGCACAAGGGAAGACAGAACAGCACGGTTATGCTGTGACGCCGTGTCCCAGCACAACAAGGGCACAGCGGCGCCCAGATTGTCAGCTCGGTGCTTTTGCAGGGCTTCCACTGGTCGTATGGCTTAGTGCTCATAAACCCAGGAGCTCCTGCTTGCTGCTTAATTAATCCTTTCTGCCTGCAGTGCTCTGCTCTGGGACAGGGCTCTGAGCTGCCCTCAAGCTGCAGCAGTGGGTTTCATCCACCCTACATCTGCCCTCTTCGGTGGCCGTGATCTCGGTGACCTGACCGAGGTGGCTGCGAGCAGCCTGCGTAATGACCGCTTCTAAATCTTTTTACCAGATCCTAATGGACAAGGGCCTGTCCTGGTAAATAATTTACCGTGCCCATGAGTGAGAGTTTCACTCCACTCATTTTGTTTCCATAGAAACTTCTGCGCTCCTTCTGCTCCACGCAGCCTTCGGCGAATCAATACCCATTTTTGTTCCTTTGCGCATTGAGTGATGGCCCTTAGATCTCGGGGACCGGAGGCCCTGCGGCACCACGGTGTCATGGAGCTGGCACCGGTCAGGCCCTGAGCGCCTGCCTGCCCCAAACCGTTGTTTTTCTTCCCGCTGAGCTCCTGTGCGAGCCTGGGAGCAGTGAGGTGCAGACTGACAAAACCTGCTCCCAAACTGCCACGGCTGAGCACCTTTGTCTCTGCAAGAATTTATCTTTCCTTTGCTCTCTGCAGTTGTCCCCACTGCTTTTGTGCAAGGGTTTGTGCTGAGCCAGGAGCACAAAGGGAGGGATAAGTGGCTGAGGACGGGGCTGTGCGCCATATGGCGTGAGGGCTCTGCAGGATGGGACTGCCTGCAGTGCAGTGTTGGCACCAGCAGTGTGTCCATGAGCAGCCCCAGAGCGCTGCAGGGCTGGCTGGCACCTTGTGCTGCTTGCAGATGGGTAAACTGAGGCAAGTGGAGGGCTGGAAAGGGGCTCTGAGCTTGAGCTTGGCTCTGGCACCTCTGCATGCGTGTGATCCAGGGGGATGCCGGCACTGGTCACAGTGCTCAGACAGCACAGGAGCAGCTGAGGTCACCAATGCTTGTGCAGCAAAGCAAACTAGCAGTGCAGCTTAGAGCAGCGCTGACCCAGGGCATGTCCCTGCATGGCCGCCCGCCCGCCTGCTGCCACCTTTAAGCCCGGCCCCAGCACACGCCGATCTCCCAGCTGGGACCAATGCATTTTGATGTCAGCAGTGAAAGCTGGACGAGGAAAGGTCACAGCAGCTCAGCCAACCCCACAGGAAAACCTTCTATCTGCCCCTCTGCTTTCGGCAGCCTCTTACTTCTAATTTATGACACGTTGACACCAGACAGATTTGAACAGAGATGTGTTTAACCCATACGGAGGGATACAGGGTTACTTTCATTGCTCACACTTGCTTGACCTATTTTTCTTTAATCCCTTCCTGGAAACCTGATTTCATGTTCGAATTCCCTCAACTATTTTAGGAATGTCGTCCTACCAAGATCAAATTACCTCCAATGAATCCGGTGCAAGGCAGCCTCACCAGGCAGGCAGGTTTTTGATTAAGATCTGGCACTAGCTCATTAATACAAGCCTCATTTGGAAGGGTGGGGGCTGTAATTGTAGCATGGCAAATGCACACAAAATCTGGGATTAGCCACAGGGAAACCCCGATCTGGGACTCTGGCATCTCAAGGAGGGCACCAGAGCTGCTGGACGAGTGCCCATGTCCAAACCCACCTGTGTCCTCAGCAAGGTTGTCACAGTGTGTCCATGCCACAGGCAGACCCTCAAATGCAGCTCGTATTCCTGCCTGTTTCTGTGTGAAAGGATCAGAGCACAGGCACAGACCTGGAGGTGTGTGTGTGGCTGCTGGAGAGAACAGAAAGGTGACGGAGGAGATTTTGGAGACTTAAGGCAGACACATCCTGCACGTCCCCGGGGTGTGCTCTGAATTTCAATGTGCTGGTACACACTAATTTTTGTTCCTAATCATTTCCTTTTCATCCTGGTTTTAATCCTATTACAGTCAGTGCTGGGCAGACACCTCCACCACCAAGCAGTCCCTGAGCTCTGAGATCCGTTGCAGCATAGTCTCTTTGAGGGGCCTGGCTGAAGACAGAGCCCTGGGGCTGAAGCAGTGATTTTTGGCTTAATGCCTCCACTTTGAGTCTTACTCTGAGAGTTTTCCCTCCCAAGCTCTGAGTGGGGACAGCCTACGAACACAGCATGGCAATAGCAGGAGAAAAGGGGCTGTTCCTGTTCAGCTGCCTTTAAACAACCCCATCTGTTGTCTGAGCCACAGCAGACATTGGGAAAGAACATTCCTCTTCCATTGGTGCCAAGGCTTTTCCCTGAGCTGTGAGGGCTGGGAGCAGTCGGTCCCGCTGCTGTTACAGCTGTTGGCTCCTTCACCAGGACTGCTTTCAGCAGAGCTGAACAACTGCTGTTCCCAGCATGGAGCTGTGGAGTGCCCGGCCCCTGGGATCACCCGGCCCTGTGCCTGGAGCAGCGTGGCTGTGGGTGCTGTGGGCGCTCTGTGGGCATGGCCGTCTGCGTGCTGTGCCTGCATCCTACAGAGGTGAGCCTGCAGATAGCAGCCCACGCCACAGGTCGGTTCTGCAAGGTTTTGGGCTCTGCCCTTGCCTCAGGTCACGGTTGGCTGCCAGCTTTCTTCCTTCCTTTTTGGGCAATCCGAAGGATTTTGCTTTTCTTGGCACCATCCCAGCCCTTCGCTGGCATCGAGGCAGCAACCAGCAGTGGGGATTCTGCTTCCCACTCTGAGCACAGGGACAGAGGAGGATCCTGGGCATGGAACTTCTTAGTTAAGTCGTGCCAATAGGTGACCAGCTTTTCTCCAGATTTTAACTCGTGATGATGTAGTGCTTTTCATTTCTCCACATCATCAGCAGGATGTCTTCACGGTGCAGTCCCTTGGTGTTGCTCAGAGCCAGACGTGCAGCAGAGCCTTTTTGGTGTTCAAATGTCACCATCCCTCATTTTTTTTCATCTTAGGACCAGAAGCTTTCAATTATTCTGCAGGCAGCTGCTCCCAGTCACGCTATCTGGCGTGGGTTCAATGTAACCGAGTTGCCCAGAGCCTCATAACTGCTCCCAGCATGCCAGAGCAAAGCCTGACCGACAGGGCTGGGATGAGGCGCTTCCTGGTGATCCCCAGGGCTGGGCTCCCACGTGCAGCACGGCCCTGCACAGGGTGTGGGGCACCGGGTGACCTTCAGAGGCGGCCGCTCTGCTTAATGGGTTTCAATCTGATTATGCAGTGTGTTACTAAGAAATGTGCTTGGTTTGTTCTTCTCAATTAAGTACAAATGTAGGGACAGTTATCTTGAACTGTCCGCCTGCTACTTGGGAAAAAGCCTTTGAAAATGATATTGTGGATCAAAAGTGTGCCTGGGGTAATTCTTTTTAAACGGCGGAGTTAATCCAGAACTGAATTTGTCCCTGCATTTCCAAATGAGAGGCAGTAGCTGTATATAATCTGTTTATGGTTTTAAAGCGAATGTTAATCTTGGATTTGGTGGCTTTTCCCAAGGGTCGATTTGCTGTGCTGCAAAATGCTTTAGCCCCCTGCACTGAGATGACTCCACCTTTTATTTTAAAGAGGGATTTCACCGTGTTTATAAACAAACGTCAAACCTGGGAATGTTCAATCTGTGGGGCCCTCTGCAGTGCAAGTGGTGCTATTTTTCTCCCCTTGCAGTGTTTGGTTTGTGCGGCGCCTGGCACAGTGACCCGAGCTCCTGGATGCCCTCCTGGGGGACATGCCGTGCAAATGGGGGTGCAGTTGAATAGTTTGAGTTGAATTGAATTTCCCCCTCTGAGATCTTGCTGTGCCCTGGGTGCTTTCTCCACACCGACAGTGCCCTCGTGCAGCCCCTGCCTGCAGCTTCCTGGCCATGTGCTGGGGCTGAGCAAGTAGGGCAGAACCACAAAAGGACAAGATTGTAAATCCCACTCCTCACTCCAACAAAGCAAAAAATACCACAAGGAGGGTTTCTGAGGTGGGCTTCTTACGAAGGTGGCTGCCAACAATGTGCCTCGTGCTTCAGTCCAGCTGCTGGTCCTGGCTCTGGGGAGCTCAAAGCCGCCCCCACTCTTGGGGCCCCGCGTCTCACCAGAGGTAACTTTTGACATCTCTCTGTGCCCGCAGGTGCTGGGATGCTGCAGCGTGCCGGGGGCTGACGCGTGGAGCTCTGGCTGTGGGGAGCAGTGCCCCCGCCGCCCACCCATGCTCCCGGCCGGCAGCCGGGGCCTTGCCCCGTGACGAGGTGCCCCCCTCACCAGGACCGCCGCCATGACGAGCCTCTTTCGGCGCAGCAGCAGCAATGGCGGCTCACGCGGCGGCTCCTCGGCGCAGGAGCTCAACAACAGCCGCCCTGCCAGGCAGGTGCGCCGGCTGGAGTTCAACCAGGCCATGGAGGACTTCAAGACCATGTTCCCCAATATGGACTACGACATCATCGAGTGTGTTTTGAGGGCCAACAACGGTGCCGTGGATGCCACCATCGACCAGCTCCTCCAGATGAACCTGGATGGCAGCGGCTGTGAGGACAGCTCGGACTCGGAGGACAGCATTCCCCCTGAGGTACTGCTGTGTCTGGCCTGGGCTCATTCTGTCTCGTTTTTGCCCCCTGCATGACTGGGTGTAAGGGAAGGACAGTGGAGCCGGTGTCTTTGCAGGCCTGCAGCTGCACTTTGTGGCTGATGTGGGTGCCTCTTGACAGCCATTTGAATGCTGACTTGGCCACTTTGTAGCATGCAGCCTGGCAGTTGGCCTCTGTCAGTGCTTGAGGCTTGAGTCAAACCACTCTCCTCCCTCCTTTCTTCCCCAAAACCAATAGAAGGTCTTTAGCTCCTGCCTCACTATGCCAAAATGCAGTGCCTCTTCCCTACAGAACAGTGCCCCAAATCTGCCCAGTGCATGTCGGCCCCATCCTGCCCGCAGCATTGCTCAGCTCACCCTCACCCTCTCCTCCTCTCTCCCCAGATCCTTGAGCGCACCCTGGAGCCAGACAGCTCGGATGAGGAGCCTCCCCCAGTATACTCCCCCCCAGCCTATGAGAGCCAGGTGCTGAGCTGTCCACATGCACCTCCCACCCCCCCACCCAGGTGAGTCTGCTGCGTGTGCATTAGTACGAAGTCAAGGGAGATGAAGGAAGCTCGCAGCTGGATAAAAAACGGCCCTAAAACATGAATAGCTGAGGGGGCAAGAGGGCTGCCCATAAAGCAAGTAGAATGGCAAAAATCAGCTTCTGGATGCAGGAGCGCTTGCTGCCTCTGGAGAACACCAGGTGCTGTGTGGCTGGGGCCTGACACCTCTTATCTCTTGGCACCAGGAGCCCTCGTGCCTGTGGCAGGGAAGGGCTGTGGGTTTGTAGGATAGCTAGGCACAGTGAGATTTTCCAGCCTCTGGACAACACCTGGGGAGCTGGGCAGGTGGCTGCTGACACGGGTCCCTGTCAGCAGCGTTTGAGTTCCCTCTGGCTGAAGTCTCTGGCTGTGCTCACGGCAGGACGGATGTGCCGGGGCCTGGCCGCTACAGGAACTGGAACCCACCGCTGCTGGGCAACCTGCCTGAGGACTTCCTGCGCATCCTACCCCAGCAAGCTGCCTGCACACAGGTGAGCACCAACCCTGAGCCCCTGTGGCATGACCAAGAGTCGTGGGTTACTTCTGATCACTTTGAAAATCAGCTCTGTTGCTCTGCTGGGAAACACTAGGACCAGCCAGTGCTCTTGGGCAGAGCATTGAGGCCTTATGCTCAGTGGATACTATGTATGTAAGGTACAAAATCCTCATGTACACGTTGGAAATCGGGGTACTCATACTCTCCTTGGCAGTTTTGGGGCTGGTACCACAACACCCTGTGGGGACCAAGCACAGCCTCAGTGGGCTCAGCTCAGCTTTGGCTGCTCCGCATCCCCTGGGTGTCCCATGACCACTTTGCACCCCTGCAATAGGGCTGGTGCCCTCCTAGTTTGTCAGTGGCCTGGGGAGGTCTGCAGATGCATCATCTTTTCCCAGCCCTTTTTGGTGCTGAAGGCAGTCTGCTATGTTGCCATATATACTTGCCTGAAAGTTGAGCTTCTCAGGCTATAATACCTTTCTGGGAATAGAAACATAGCATTTCACTGGGGCTCAGGGGAGAGAGAAGCAGCTGCCCTTCTCTTCTCTGGTAATTGTGTGCTTTTGCTTTTTATGGCACTTTGAGAGCAGCAGTAGATATTGTAGATAGATACTGTAGGCAAGGGAGAGATTGATCCTGTGCAGTGTGGCTCTGCTCTTCCACATGTATGGATGCAGTGGGAGCTGGGGAGGGTGAGAGAGAGCGTGAGCACCGGTGCACTGCTAGTAGGAAATTGCAGTCTTTTCCTTTTAGTTGGGCAAAATTAAAGCAGTGATGCTGGCTGCAGGACCTTTCTCGTTCACTTTCACATCTTGCTTCAACTCTATGCTGATCTGAAAAAGAGCTGATTCCCACATCAGGGGCTGTGCTCCCACGCAGAGGTGTCCCCCTGGCTCTGCCTGGTGTTGGTGTCCAGCAGCTTTGTGCTGTGGCCATGGACCAATCTTTCTGCTCGTGTTTCCTCTTGCACAGGGCTCCTCTGGATGCCGGCAGCCTGTGCCACGGGGCCAGGGCTCCCTGGAGCAGGAGAGGAGGTGGAAGCAGTACCTGGAGGACGAGCGGATTGCGCTCTTCCTGCAGAACGAGGAGTTCATGAAGGAGCTGCAAAGGAACCGGGACTTCCTCCTTGCCCTGGAGAGAGGTGAGAAGCACCTTTAGGAACCTCTGTCTGCTTTTCAGGCGTGTGCCCCACTCTGGGACGCTGCTCCTGCTGCGGTGTGTCAACCTCATCCCCATCCGCTGCAGCTGGAAAACCACCACGTTTTGGCGGGCGCTCACTTCCTCCGCTGTGGGCTCCCACAGAGTGCCTGCGGTCGCTGTGTTGCAGCAGTGGTGGTGCTTGGGGGAGGCTGCCTGCTTGCTCCCACCGCTCCCGGCCGTGGTGTGGAGATGTTTGACATCCTTGGGGTGTGGCAGATCTTGTCCGTTTGCTGCTGCAGGGACTGAGTGCAGTGGGCATGTACGGACAAGGAGCATGAAGCTGTGTGTGCTGCCTCGAGAGTCTTACAGGGCTTTTTGTTTTTTCAGATCGACTAAAATACGAGTCAAAAAAATCCAAGTCGACCAGTGCTGCTGTCAGCAATGATTTCTGTTTCTCCTCCGTAACACCAGGTAATTTCAAGGTGCACAAGAGTATCTCCTGTCATCAGGGGAATGCTCCAAAGCTCCACCCAATGTGCCATGCCCTGTGATGTCTCCGCCTGGGGAGGAACCCAGCTGGTCCCTCCCTACTGCACAGAGCTCCTAAAAGCACATGGCAGTGGGGCAGACAGGTGACGGAGCTGGGTGCCCGTGCCCTCCCCACCCAGACATGTCCTGGCTCTGTTCTTCCCCTGGGCCCAGTTCCCAGGGGTGACAAAGCCCTCTGTCTTGATGGGAGCAGAGGATTGTGTCTGGGAGACGTAATGACTGTTCCCAAGTAATCCTGATTAACCTCAGCAGTGAGGCAGCTGCCTGGGGACAGAATTAGCACTGGTAGCTGTCCATGTCCCTGAGTGGGGCTGGAGTGGGCAAGATGCAGCCACTCAGCTGCAAGTTGGGGTCACTGCCCCCAGGGTTTCTGCACCCCAGATCTCAAGAGGGGTTTTGTCACCCAGAATCGGGTGTGGAGTGCTGTGCCCTTTTCCTGCTCACTGTTACTTAGCTCTGCCAGTGACCAGATGTGCTGATGGTGCCCAAATGTTTGCCTTCCAGGTGACGTAGCCACTCCTGGAGCCAGCGAGGCTGGCAGTGCTGTGTCTGACGATGCCTTATTCAGAGACAAACTGAAACACATGGGAAAATGTGAGTTGGTTTCCAGGCTCCAGTCTGGCAGCAGGAAGCCCATGGTGGGCTAGAGGAGCGCGTAGATATTTTGTGGTGTCTGTTGATGATACAGATGGCGTTGGGAATCCCAGAAGAGGAAGCAGAGGAGTTTGCTATAGCTCTCCCTTTCCTCTTAAGCCTGCCACAGTTGCTTCTCCCATTGCAAAACAAACCCAAGTTCTTTGGGTGGCCTGACTCAGACTGCAGCTGGCCAAGACCCACTGGGGTGGCCTGGGGTAGACATGAGTAGGGAATACCACAGAAGTCCCAATGAAAGGATAGAAACACCAGCACCTCTGGCCTGGGGCCTCTTGTATCTCTGCTAGTGGCAGGACCTGGTTCTTGGTGCCCGGCACCACAGTGGCTGCTTCTGGCATCAGTGGCTCTTGCCCATAGCTGTCTCCTCCCCAGCACCCCTGGCAGCTCTCTGGGGAGTTTGTGGTGAGACCCTCACTGGCCTGTTTCCTTCCAGCAACGCGCAAGAAGCTGTTTGAACTCGCCAGAGCCTTCTCTGAGAAGACAAAGATGAGGAAGTCAAAAAGAAAACACTTGTTGAAGCACCAGGTGTATCCTAAAAGGGCCTTGTTGTCATTTGCCCCTGGTAGCTGGGACTGCTGGGGGAATGTGGGTGGTCCTGGGGACTCTGTGAGGCTGCAGTTTGGAGAGGAGCATCCCCAGGTGCCCCCACATCTGTGGGCTGTGAGGAGCGGTTTTGGTGCTATGACCATGCCCTGGTTTTCCTTAGCAGAGCATGCAGGCTGGGGACAGCTGCATCCACAGCAAATCTTCTTGATGACGTCGAAGGACACTCGTGCGGTAAGAAAGGCTGTGCCACTCTGTGCTGTGCCATCCTGAGTTGTGCCATGTTGTGCCGTGCCATGCCATACTGTGCCACCTTGCTGGTATGGGCCTGGCGTCACATGTGGGGTAATTGTAGACCCTGACTCGTCTGCCTCTTCCTTTCAGATGAAGATTTTCAAGCACGGCGGCAGCAGCTCCGGGAAGAGGAGGAGACGCTGAAGGAAGGGCAGTAAATGGTGAGGGCTGTGGTGCTGTGGCTGGTGACAGCTCCAGCGCCGTGATGGGACAGTGCTGGCCGTGGTGCAGCTGAGGCTGAGCACACACTGTTCTTCCTCCTCCTGGTCTCCTCCCCTCCAGGTCCCAGCGCTGGGGTTTATTGCTGGCACAGAATGTGCAAAGGGCTTAATAAGAAGATGGCTGAAAAAAGGAAAACAAACAAACACCCAACGACAAATAACCCAATTTTTTGGCTGTTCCCCCTCTGCTGTTGTACTCCTCTGAAGTACAAACGTTGAAGTGAGGCAGTTTTCTTTTCAGAGGTTTGAAAACAACTTCTCCTATCTAGCAAATCAGCCAAAAAAAAAAAGGAAAGGAAACAGCTGGCAGCTGGTGTGAGCTGTGGCATTGGAGCTGGTGGGTCTGGGACTCAGGGAGGAGCCGTCCCTCCTGCGCGTGGGATCCACAGAGTTCTGCCAGAAGAGTGCACATGGGCTGTGCTGAGGGGATGCCCCAGCTGCAGGAGCTGCCTGGCAGAGCATCCCTGTGCATATCTGTGGTGATCTGATGTAATTTTCCTCTGCGCACGCAGGAAAAGAAAACAAGAAAGAAACTAAAAACTGTCGTCTACTATTGCTAGGAGTAATAAGCAGAGATTCAGATCAGGTAATAGTGAAATAATATAAGTTGTTTATAAAAGGAAAGGCCTTCTTTTCCAAGGCATTTCCCTTTGCATTAAACCTTTGCCTTTGGCATCGCTCAAACTGCCTTGAAGTCGGACCCTCACTGCCTTGCTCCCTGTGGGGCAGCACCAAGGGCTGGATCTGCACTGGTGCAGTGGCCGGGCCAGGACATATCCTGTTGGGTGCAGTGCTCCAGTAGTGTTTCTGGGGCCGGGCAGGGACATCCCTTGCCATTGATGAGGTGGAGATTTGGGGTTTGCAGCTGGGGCTGGCGGAGATGTTTTTGATACAATGAGCCGGTGTGGGGCAGGAGAAGCTCTCCAAGCCTTGGGGATCGTTTTTCCAGGAGAGTGAAGGGGCAGCTGGGAAGCAGCGCTTGGATCTCTGCAGCATCCTGAGATGCTGTCAGGCTAAAAATAATTACGTAAACAAATTCCTTCCTTGTGTAAGTAACGAGTGACGAGCACTAAGTCAGAATTTGCTCCCGCCAGCACATTTTCTTCTTCTTGATCAGCATAATCTGTTTACTGCTCAGTCAGGAGGTGGCTGCAGACATGCCTGTTCTGCTTTCTGGCTCCTGTGAACCAGCACAAATGTTTTAAGATTTGTGCTGCGAAGGTGGCAGATGCAGAATCTCATCCACCAGACACGCACGCACTGCTGTCCCTGCCTCTCTGTGGGATTGCTAACAAAGCCCACATTGCTCTGGCTCCTGGCGGGCTCCTCCCAAATCCTCCCTGCATCCCCTTTGAAGTGGATGCCAACGTTTTTCCCCACAGCCACAGTGCACCTGTTGAGTGCTGCCGCAGGGCTGAGTGAGGCAGGGACACCACCTGCCATCAGTGCTGCCGTGGGCTGCTTGCGCCACGGTTGGAGCTCCTTGAAGGAGCTGCCCTCAAGTCTGAGCCCAACTTTGATTCTGCTCCTTTTTAAGGAAGGGGCAATGGTGTCCCCTTTGAAGTGGGGGCTGCAGCAGTGCCACACTGCACTGGACTAATCCCCAAGGTGACTTTAGGTGGTGGGAACGGGGTGCAGGGAGGTACTGGGGAGGCACTGCTACTCTGTGTAGGGTCAGGATCTGGAGAGGTGCGTGTCCCATGTGGCACGGGGCAAGCATGAAGCTGTGGCTTTGCTGCTGGAGCAGGAGCTGGGGGCTGCTATCCCCAGCCTGAGGCTGGCTCTCGGATAGCGGGAGGACACCGCTGCTCCCTCCCAGCCCAAAGCAGTGCTGTGTAGTTGGAAAAAAAAACAAGCTTGGAATTGGATCAGCTTGTAAACGTTCCAGTGCTTCTGAGCTACAAGGGCTTAACTCGCAGCAAAGTTTTCGTGCATGCAGGAAGCACAGACAGGCGGTGCAGCGGGGCTCCTGTGGGCTGTGAGCTGCTGTCCCAGTGGCTGTGGCTGCTTTGGGGTCAGGGAATGTGCTCCAAACAACGTGCCCTGTGCTGCGCAGCTCTGAGTGATGTCACTCTGCGGCCATTTTAAAATACCTTGGAGGCACAAAACATCGTTTCGATGGACGATGAAGAGTCGCTATTTTAATCTCCTTTAAAAAGACAGTGAATCAGGTCTAATGAGCAGAAAGGCCCCTACAACCAGCTCGGGAGCCAAAATGCATTTCTTGCATAAAGCTGTACGATTCTCAGTGACGTTTCTATCACTTCTATATGAAATGTTTTAAAAAGAACAACAACAAAAAAGAAGTCTGTGGCGTGTGTGAGTGTTGCTCTTTTAGAATTTCCATAAGTGATTTTTTTTTCTTAAAAATGTTTAATAGTAATTCATATAATAAAGTCCTGTTGTACTCTTAACACTGCAGCATTTTGCTTTTAGCTGCTGTTATTTTACATGGGGAGAAAAGAAGAAATCAGGGTGGAGAGAGGCCTGCCCTGTCCTGGAACAGCTGCAGCACTTCTGGAATTCTGCTCTCTGTGAGCAGGAGTTTTTTTTCAGAACTGTGTTTTTAAAAAAACTGTGCCTGGGAGAAGCCTAGAACTAAAAACTGTGGTAGAATCACGGTGATACTGGAGGTGCTTCAGGGCAGCGCCTCCGTGCACGCGTTCTAGGAGCGCAGCGGGGTAGCAGCTGCTCCTAGGACCCATTTCAGGACTTTCAGTCCTGGCTCTGGGTCAGCAGCGCTGGCCCTTTAAATGGCGGAGGGGCCGATCCGCAGCTCGGCTATCGTCTGCCTCTGTCTGCGCGCCACCTCCCGTCCACAGTACGCCCTGGCAGCGGATTGGTGGGCGGCCCAACGGGACAGCGTTTCCGCTTCCGGGTAGTGGGGCAGCTCGTTGCTAGGGTGGCACTGTTGCTAGGGGAGGCCTAGGCCGCCGCCATGGCGGGGAATCGCATGCAGAAGACCGGGAGTGTGTTCAGCCGGTAATGGGGGGCGTCGGGAGGGCGAGCGTGGTGGACGTGGGCTGTGAGGGTGGGCGCTGAGCCGTGGCTGCCGCCCGCAGGACCCGCAATTTGCTGCGCATCGGCGTCATCGAGAAGCCGCTGTGGTTCGACGTGTACGCCGCCTTCCCTCCGCTCCGCGAGCCGCTGTACCGCGTGCCCCGGCCGCGCTACGGCAAGGTGACGGACGTCGTGCCGCCCATCCTCTACCGGGAGGACGAAGTGCGAGCGTGAGTCCCCGCCCGGGGCCGGAACCGCTTGCGTTGGGACCGCGCGGCCCTTCGGTGTGCGTGTCGCTGTGCCGCTGCGGGGCGCTGCGGGAGCGTCGCTGCCCTGCCGTCTCCTGGCCGCTGCGGGGCCGCTACTGCGTGGCCGTGCCGTGGGGGAGCCGCACGGCGTTGTGCGTTCGCAGGGGCGGCCGGGCACCGGGCCGGGTGAAAGCTCGGCTGCCACGGAAGGCGGAACTGCCTTAAGGCGCCGCGCGTGGCCTGAGCGAAGCCCCTGGGGGGTAAGCTAGCAGGAGCTCGGCGCTGCGGCTGAATGCTGAGTGTGCTGGGTAATGCCCAATGGTAAAAGGAGTGACGGTCTTGTGAAGGCCTCTTGTAGCCTGGCTCTGATCGTGTTCATTTCCTTCTAAACGTGTCTCTTTTTAATTGCTTTAAACACTGGTTTTTGGTTTTTAAATAGGAAATTTTATAAAATATATGGCAGCGGTCCCAAACCCTTTGATTTATCACAACCGAGGTACAAATCTACTTGCCAAAGGTAAGAGTTTTAGTTTTTCAAATTAAACTACAAATATTTCTGGAAGTCGTCCCTGTCTCCCCTTGGGTCAGCAAACCAAAATGGTTTCAGTGAGAGTGAAAGTACAATCTTGAAATCTAGGTTTGTTGAGAAATATAATGAATTGAAAGAAGAAGGAAAAATCGAAGAGGAAAACCTGTTTGAAGAAACAGGAAAAGCCCTTTTAGCCAGTGGGATAATTCTGCAGAGACGAGGAACAGATAAAGTAAGCCAAACTCAGTTGTTATTTTCTGTTGTCATATGCCCTTCGTTTTCCTCATTATCCAGTCATCCTTGGTCTAAGCATCCACAGTGCTTTTTCTATAAGAGAGGCTGAAAAGGAGCAGAAATTGGTTCTAGTTAAAGTGTGATGTCCTGTGAGCGTGTAGGAAGATGAGATCAGTACCTGTCTTTTATCTTTTTTCTCGAGGTCAGCAATCTCATTTTGAGTTTCTTGCTTCTTGGTGGTGCTTTGAGACTGTGTTGTACCTTTATAATAATCTAAGCATGAGTCACAACTTGTCTCTCAGCTTTTCTGGGCAAGCAACTGCCAGGTTTTTCTTTTTTTTTTTTTCTTTTTTTTCTGTTTCTCTCTTCAGTCATGCTTTGACAAACTTTTTCAGCCCTGTTTTTTTATTGTGATCATCTGTCATTAATTGTAGGTAGCACAACAGGATCATCAGGATGCGGAAGCCAGGGATTCGGTGCTACGTCTGCAACTTCAAACCGTGTTGGAAGAGTTGCAGGAGAAGAAGGGAAGTCAGGAGGAGCAGACAGCAGAACTGAGAGAAACGCAGAAGGAAAATCCTTCATCCTAACAGCTGTGCTCTTGGCACATCCTGCAGCTTGGCGTTGTGTGCCCGTGCTGCTCGCCTGCTCAGGAGCCAGTGTTTCCATCTGCACAGCTCTAAGAAATATTCTGAAGGAGGCTATGGCTCAGTCTTCTGGCTGTGGTGCCTCCCTGCCATGGTGTGTGTGACACACGTTCTTGTCTTTCAGTCTCCCCACTTAGGAAGCAGGAGATGATCCTCTTTTAAGGAACATTGCCTTGACATTTTCAATTGTGTTGTCTCAGCTTTTGAGATGGAAAATAGAATGGAAAATTAAACACTTCCTGCAAAATGGGAACCTGTGTCTTATTTGCAGTAGCACTGTCTGGCACTGATGGTACAGGCGTTGTGACAGTCCTGCTGTTGAAATGGCAGATGCTGTTTACTTGATGCATTGTAACAGCTGTCAGAAGTGTCATCTTTTTATAGCTGATTCCGAAGAGTTGCTATTTATATGAATGTTCTAATATGTTCTTTCTGCTTCGTCACTTGCTTGCATTCCTGTTAGGATGAAACGCCACAGACAATTTAGATCTTTGAAGTTTTTTAGCAAGTCTTTATGAAATTGGTCACCTTGGAAATGTGGAACATGCACCACTGCAACTCTTTGCTGAAGTGGAAGTTGAATTCTTTTACAGAAAGTCACTGAAACTTTGGCACAGAAAAGGAAGTAGTAATCTCACCCAGCTTAGAGCTGACTATAATTCCATTCTTCTCATGTCTGTAAATTGCCCACCTTGTTTTTATTAAGAATTTTGGTTTTAGGCCAAAGGAAAAGGAACAACAACAAGAAAACCACTGTGTTTCAAGTCATGTCAGGAAAATCTCTCTTCCCACTTCTGACTCCTCCCCCAAAAAGGAGAAGGTCAGGATTTCCTTTTGGTTTTGTACCTGCCTTCCAGGACCCGTTCTCCTGAAGGTGGTTTTGTGACCCTGGTGCTGCGTGTAATTCAAGCAAACACTTATGAATATGTACTGAGTAGAGGTAAAAGGGATGGTTGAAAAATGTTCCTTTCTTTTTTCTTGTTTCTTTTTCCTTTTTGAATGGCACGATTTGCCTCCTGGTAGCAATGCCATTACAGTAGAACGATTCGGTTGCCCTTGGAAGGTCAAACTTTATTTATTTATTCCTGATCCTGCTCAGTAATTGTGGAGCTGATGGTGGTGGCACGTGTGCCTGGCCGTGCGAGGAGCTTCCACATGGAGCGTGAATGACTGCCTGAATCTAAAGCCATGGGTGGCAGCCCTGAGCAGAGGCTGCGGTGCCAGGATCCAGCAGAACAAATGTGGGGCCACCATGGTGGGAGAGAGGCTAATGTGTGGTGACAAAAGAAACCAGTGAAAATGGGATTCAGTCTGAAACAAAGCTGGAGTGGAGGTGCACTTCAGTCTTCAGCAGCAAGTATTTGGGTGCAGGTTTCTTTAAATTTCAGTGTTCTTTGGCCTCCATGAGGGCTGAGGCCAGCTGCCCTCGTTAGTAGAGTGCTGGCAGCTGTGATGGGAATTTCTCTTCTTGTGTGCAGTTTCTTTGTGTGGGGCAAATGGTTACTGGTGGCTGAAGGTTCCACATCTCCTCTGCGGCTGCTCAGTGTCTTTTGCTTTGGGACTCTTCAATCTGAGGTAAGTGCACTGAACTTCTAACTTTGCCTTATTACTGTGGTTGATGCTCCTAACTTGCCCTGAATTGTGCCTGGAAGCTCTTTAAAGTGAGAAGTGGTGCTATGAAGATGAGTGCCATGGTGTGAGAGGTTTCTCACTCACTTTGCTCACAGCTTGGTGGTCTCCTGGTTGTTACTGCTTTTGTAAAACAGTGCCAAGTGGCCAGAAGGAACCTTTTCTTCTGTCCTCTGCCATCACCAGCTTCAGTCTTGCATCTTTGGAAGGGTTGGCTGTTGTCCTTTGCCACGTGGAGGTCTAAGAAACATAGAATGCCAAAGAAGGCAGTGGCTTGCAGTGTGCCATGAGCCTGTTTCTATGCAGAGCTGATGCTAACAAAATCGGAATGTTTTTCTGCTTTAGTCTTTGTTCGGAGCAGTCGTTAGAAGCCGCTCGCTGGGTGGGGGCGCTCCAGATGGAGCCCTTCTGGGGTGGGCTGTTGGTTGCTGCCTGATGTCCTCAGCTGTGTGTGCCCGTGGTGTGGAGCAGTTTGTGCCTGGTGGTGCAGCTGTGCTTCGGGGGTGGGGGTGGAGGAGAAGCACCGCAGCCCTCGTGCCGCTCCTCTGAAATGCGGGCACATTACCTGGAGAAACCCTGTGTGGGTGAGTTGATGTGCCCGGTGAGGACTGCTGCCGGGGTCCGGGGGGGCTGGGGGCTGTGGGTTGCGGCCCTCCATCTGCCTGGCTGTGGCAGGTAATAGGGAGCGGGAGCTGAAGAACTCGGTGCAATTAGGAGAGGGTGCGATTAAGAGCAGAGTTGTGTTTTTTGATACCGGGCGATTGATGGATGCGTTCGCTGGGCTGGGATTGAAACTCCAATCGCCGTGACCTGAGAGTAACTGCTATTTTAATTAAAAGGCTCTGAGAAAAAGCCTGGGGTGAGCTATTTATTATTTATCAAGTGTTTGCCTTCCCGCCGTTAGCCAAAGGTCAGCGGCTTTGCGGGGGGGGTTCGCTGGGGGCCGCCGCCCGCGGGGCGTTCGTGTCCGCCAGGGGGGGACCGCGCAGCGCCGCCGGACGGAGCGGGGCCGGGGCCGGAGCCCGTGTTGGTGCTGCGGGTTTGTTCCCGTGGTTCTGCCCCGCGCTGCGGCCGGAGGGCTGACGGCGAAACGGCCGTGATGGAATTGCCGGCTGTGCCTTCGTGCCGGGGTCGGCACGCGAGGAAAGGAGCGCAAGCTTTCCCCCAGCAGTCGGCTTCCCGTAGGAGCGATCTGAGCACGAGGCACAGATGAAGGGCAAGGGCAGGCGGAGCCCCGCGCCGCTCCACGCGGTACAAAACCCGCCGCTGTGACCTCGTCGCTGCCCCGAGCCTTTGTGGGACGTCGCGCGTCCACGTTGTGCCGCGTGCGGGGCAGAGCTGGCTGCTGGTGGCGGAGCGCTCGCTAATGAGCGGAGCTTCTGCCATCTCGCAATCCTACACCCCATTACAGAGCAGTGTGTGACCTTTCCTGAGCTGGAGTGCTGACCTCTTTCCTCCTGAAAGATGAGCGGTGAGTGTGCAGCAGTTCCCCTTTCTGATTGCAGAGCTCTTTTAAAGTGACAGTAAATGCCAAAGTGTTGGTTATGGGGCTCCTCGAGGCATCGAAAATGAGAGACAATTGAAAGCAAGAGGGAGAGGACGGAGCCCTCTGTACCTCTCTGGCAGTCAGGCCGAAGGTCTCCCAAGGTCAGATCCTAAAGCCGAGGGCGTCTCCTGGCAGTGTGAGGAAGCACAGGTCCCAGCCTGCAGTCTGGAGTTCTCCTTCAGAGCTTTGTGCTTCCCTCGCAGCATCTGTGCTTGCCCATGCAGTGGGCTCGTTGCAGCAGTGCCAGCAGTGAGCCCAGCTGAGCTGCGCTGCGGGGAGGCCCCATTGCCACTGTGTGCTCCTCAAGTCTCCCCCCCACCAGTGCCCTGGCTGATGGATGAGCACTTCAGCTGCTCCCCAGTGTTCTGCAGTCAGCACATCCCTGGTTATGCGCTGTCAGATTGTCCCCACGACGTGTTGAGGGTAAGGGAGCAAAGGGTGTAACAGGGCCAAGCCTGGTGCTGGGAGCTGCCAGAGCAATTTGCAGCTGTGCCAGGGGACTGGAACCTGAGCATGCCAGTGCCAGGCTTCGTGAGGGCAGGTAGCAAGGCTGTTAATGTTCTGGAAATGCAGCTCTAGTTAAGCTGTTAGAGACTTGTTTAGTTCCAGTTGTGACAGTTTGAGCTGAAACCCTTCCAGGTGAATGCAGCCTTGTTGTGGCATGGGATCTGACTGGTCTGAATGGACAGAGGCTCTTGGTGTCCACTTCTCCCAGCTCTGTGTGCACACACATTTGGCCCCATCCCTGCATGTTGGAGCAGGGCTGGGGTGGAGCTGATCATCCGCTGCTTGCTGGGGATGTGGGGTCCCACCGGGGCTGTCCTTGCTGCTGTCTCAGTGCTGCTGCCTGTGTGCACACCGCGAGCTCATTCTGATGTGCGCTAATGCTATTATCCTCCAGAAATTGAAATCAAGTCTGAACCTATAATGTTTCACTGGGAGGGAATTGGGGTTATATATTCCTGTGTACAGCAGCATTCTATTTCAGTCATAGCATTTAATTATGATTGGTGTGTTAGTGCCCACCAGAGCATAACAAATTGTCATTATGTTATTCTGCTGAGTCTAATTTAATTGGCAAGTTGTCACAAAAGCAATTATCCATCATTTATTTTGTTGCCATAACCACATCTTGGAGAGCACCTGCTGTCTGAAGTGGAAAGGCTCTGCAGTCTCCTGGTCCTGGATTTCTTCCACTTGTCTGACACAAAGGCACCGTTTCCTCCTCTTGTTTAAAAACACGTTCCCTGTTTCCTGCAGTGGTCCCATGTGCAGGGCTGGAGCTGTGGGGGGGCTGGGGCCTGGCTGAGCCCCGTGTTGTCCTGTGATGGTCCTGGGGCTCTGCTCCCTCCTGGACGCTGCTGCCCAATGCAGTGTGGTGCTTGCAGGGCAGCTCTCAATAAGCAACTTCCAGATACCTTATCTGGGCTCCCATAGAGATAGCAGGCTGGCCAGTGGAAATTAGTGGGTTCTTCTAATCTAGTGGGCAGAGTAATACTAAGATTTCCCAAGACTAACCCAAAATTGCAGATTTTCTCCTTCCTGAGACAGTGTGGGACTCTTAGCTGTGTGGGTTTGGGAGAGGGCATCCAAAATTGCACAAGGCCAACGCAGGCATGAGAGGATTTGAAGCCTAAGACACGGCAATGAGTGAGTAAATAGACAGGATCTGTTTTGATGTCTGTATTTCTCCCAGTTCCTCCTCTCTCCACCCTGCCTGTAGTCTCTTCCCCTCCCGCGGTTCTAATTAGCTGCTAATGAGGAGAGGTGACTTTGTAGTTAAGGCACAGGTAGAGCGCTGAGTTCCTGGTCTGCTGCGGCGACTGAGCCCTTTGTTTTTCCCTGCCTCGATTTCCCCATCTATAAACCAAGGCACAATTCACTGGAGACGGATGTAGTAAAGCTAAGCGGACTGGCATTTGCAAAGCAATTTGCTTTGAAGGTCGGGCTGTCAGCCCGCGCGGTGGGCAGCTGGGGCCTGGGTTCGCTGGAGGAGGCGGAACGGATCTGAGCAGTGAGCGGGTGCCGCTGCTGCGGGAGGGAAACGGGCTGAGAACTTCATCGAACCCTGC